AGTCCTCTTTTGATGGGCAGCATGGTTGGTTGCAGGTTCTTGCTATTGTGAGCAATGCTGCAATAAACATATGTGTGGAGGTATCTTTTTTATAGAGAGATTTGAGTTCTTCAGGGTATATTCCCAGTAGGGGGATTGCAGGGTCATATGGAAGGTCGATTTTTAAAGCTTTTAGAAATTGCCACACTGATTTCCACAGAGGCTGCACTAGTTTACACTCCCACCAACAGTGTTGTAGTGTTCCCTTTTCACCACATCCTCTCCAGCATCTGTTATTTTTTGATGGCCATTCTGGCTGAGGTTAGGTGGTATCTCAATGTAGTTTTAATTTGCATCTCTTTGATGACTAGTGAAGTTGAACATTTCTTCATGTATCTGTTGGCCGCTCATATGTCTTCTTTTGAGAAGTGTCTATTCATGTCTTTTGCCCACTTTGTAATGGGGTTGTTTGTTTTTTTCTTTTCAGTATGTTTGAGTTCCTTGTAGATCTTTGATGTTAGGCCTTTGTCAGACATGGAGTTGGCAAATACTTTTCCCAGTCTGTGGGCTGTCTCCCTGATCTCTTGATGTTTTCTTTGGCTTTGCAGAAGCTTTTCAGTTTAATGAGGTCCCACTTGTCTATCTTATCTCTTGTGGCCTGTGCGTTTCAGGTTTTGCTCAGGAATTGGATGCCAGTTCCAACTTCCGTAAGGGTGTGTCCTGCACTTTCTAAGGTTCTTATGGTTTGAGGTTTTCCATTTAGAGTGAATTTTTGTGTATAGGGATAGACAGGGGTCTTGTTTGAATCTTCTGCATGTGGTCAGCCAGTTTTCCCAGCACCATTTACTGAATAGGTTCTCTCCCCAGTGGTGGGTGGTGGAGGCTTTGTCGAAGATGAGTTGGTTGAGAAATTGGGGTTTTGCTTCTGGAATCTCAATTCTATTCCGTTGGTCTCTATGCTCTTCTTGTACCAATACCAAGGTGTTTTGATTATTGTAGCTTTATAGTAAAGTTTAAAGTCTGGTATTGAAATACCTCCTGTTTTGTTTTGTTTTGGGTTTTTTTGCTGAGGATTGTTCTGGCTAGTCTTGGTAGTCTTGGTCGTTTGTGTTTCCATATGAATTCCTATATTGTTTTTTCTAGGTCTGAGAAGAATGTTGCTGGCAGTTTGATGGGTATTACATTAAGTCTGTAGATTACCTTAGGTAAGATGGGCATCTTCACAATGTTGGTTCTTCCAATCCAAGAGCATGGGATACTTTTCCACTTGGTTGTGTCATCTTTGATTTCTTTGAGCAGTGTTTTGCAGTTTTCATTGTAACGATCTTTCATGTCTCTGGTTAGGAAGATGCCAAGGTATTTCTTATTTTTTGTGTGTGTGTGTGACTATTGTGAATGGGATTGTGCTTTTTATTTGTGTTTCTGTTTGTTTATTATTGGTGTAAAGAAATGCAATTGTTTTTTGCACATTTATTTTATACCCCAAGACTTTGCCAAAGTCCTTTAGCAGTGCAAGGAGGCTTTTGACAGATTCTCTTGAATTTTCAAGGTACACAGTCATGTCATCTGCAAAGAGAGATAACTTGACTTCCACTTTTCCTATTTGGATACCCTTGATCACCTTCTCTTTTCTGATTGCTCTTACCAGGAATTCCAATACTACATTGAACAGGAGGGGTGAGAGTGGGCATTCTTGTCTTGTTCTAGTTTTCAGGAGAAATGGTTCCAATTTTTGTCTATTTATGAGTATGCTGGCTGTGGGTTTCTCATAGATGGCTTTTACTATTTTGAGGTATGTTCCATGTATGCCTAGATGTTCAAGGATTTTCATCAAGAAGTGGTGCTGGATTTTATCAAAAGCTTTTTCTGCATCTAATGATATAATCATGTGGTTTTTGCTTTGATGTCTGTTTATGTATTTAATGACATTTATGGTCTTGCGAATGTTGAACCAGCCTTGCATCCCAGGAATGGAGCCTACTTGGTCATGATGGATGATTTTTGAGATGTGTTGTTTAATCCGGTTTGCTAGGATCTTGTTGAGAATTTTAGCATCTATGTTCATCAAAGATATTGGCCTACAGTTCTCTTTCTTTTTTGGGTTTTTACCTGGCTTGGGGATCAGTGTGATGTTAGCTACATAAAATGATTTGGGGAGAGTTCCATCTTTCTCAATTGCCTGGAATACTTTCAGTAGGATTGGTATCAGCTCCTTATATGTCTTATAGAATTCTATTGGAAAGCCATCTGACCCAGGCCTTTTTTTTTTTGTAGGTAGTTTTCTTATTACATAGTCAATTTCCTTGATTGCTATTGGTCTATTTAGGGTCTCGATTTCTTCTTGTTTCAACCTAGTCAGGTTGTGTGATGTCAGAAAGTCCTCCATTAAGGTTTTCAAGTTTGTTTCCATACAAGTGTGCATAGTAGTCTCTAATGATCTTTTGTATTTCTTCAAGGTCAGATGTGACTTCATCTTTTGTGTTTCTGATTGTGTTTATTTGGGCTTTTTCTCTTTTTTTCTTCATCAGTCTAGCTAGGGAACCATTGATCTTGTTTATCCTTTCAAAGATCCAACTTTTTGTTTCATTTATTTTTTTGTATTATCTTTTTGTCTTCTATGTCCTGAATTTGGGCTTTTATTTCGGTGATCTGGATTCTTCTGCTAAAGTTAGGGTTTTGGTGGTCTTGCTTTTCCAGCTTCCTTGGGTGACTTGTTAGGCTGTTAATTTGTGATCCTTCCATTTTCTTCATGTGCATTTGTAGAGATATGAATCCCCCCTCTTACTAGAGCTTTCATGGCATCCCAGAGATTTTGGTAAGATGTCTCTTCATTTTCATTTGTTTCCAGGTATCTTTTAATATCTGTTTTGATTTCATCATTGACCCAGGAGTTGTTTAGCATCATGCTATTTAGTGTCCATGTCTTTGTGGGTTTGGGAGGAACCTTGTTGGTGTTGATGGTTATTTTTATTCCACTGTGGTCCAAGAAGGTGCATGGCAAAATTTCAATCTTTTGAAATTTGTTTATGCTTGATTTATGACCAAGTATGTGGTCGATCTTAGAGTACGTTCCATGCAGTGATGAGTAGAATGTATATTCTGTGGTCGTTGGGTGGAGTGTTCTGTTGGTATCAATTAAGTCCATTTGGTCAAGAGTCACACTGAGGTTCTGGATCCCGTTGCTGATTTTTTGTTCTGATGATATATCAGGGGTTGTGAGTGGGGCATTAAAGTCCTCAGCTATGATAGTGTTAGAGTCAATATCTTTTTTGAGTTTACCTAGAAGCTGCTTTATGAAAGTTGGGGTGCATATATGTTTAGGATGAATATTTCTTGTCGATGGATTGAACCTTTTATCATTATGTAGTAGCCTTCTGTATCTTTTTTAATTTTTGATAACTTAAAGGGTATTTTGTCTGAGATTAAGATCGCAACTCCTCCTTTCTTTTGTGTTCCGTTTGCTTGAAAATTTGTTTCCCATCCTCTTACTTTGAGTCTGTGAGTGTCCTTTCTAGTGAGATGAGTCTCTTGAAGGCAGTATATTGTTGCCTGGTGATATTTTATCCATTTTGCCATTCTATGTGTTTTCAGTGGTGCATTTAGTCCATTCACATTCAGGCTAATTATTGAAATGTGAAAGTTGATCCCTAACATAAGGTTCTTACAGAGTTGTTATTGTTCCTGTTTGTTGTCTTTCTTTTGGTTTGGGGGTTGATTCATGTGTGTTTTTAATCTTTTTCCTGTACTCTTGTGAAGAATGTTATTGTTCTTTTTTCATTTTCTTCTGTGTTTAATACTTTCTTAAGTGTTGCTTGTAGAGGTAGTCTGGTGCCAGCGTAAATTCTTAGGGATTGGATATCTGAGAAAGATTTTAATTCCCCCTCACTGATTAAGCTTAGCTTGGCTGGGTTGGTTTTTCTTGGTTGAAATTGTTTATCTTTTAGAACTTTGAAGATAGGGTTCCAAGCTCTCCTAGTCTGTTTTGTTTGTTTTTCTTTGTTTTGTTTTGTTTTCTTTGTTTGTTTGTTGTTTTTTTCTTTTTGACAGGGCCTCACTCTGTCATCCAGGCAGAAGTACTGTGGCATGATTCTAGCTCACCACAGCCTTGACTTCCTGGGCTCAAGTGATCCTTTCACCTCAGCCTCCTGAGTAGCTAGGACTACAGGCATGCACCACTATGCCTGGCTAATTTTTGTATTTTTTGTAGAGACAAGGTTTCATTATGTTGCTCAGGCTAGTCTTGAGCCTGGGTTCAAGTAATTCTCCCACCTAAGCCTCCCATAGTGCTGGGATTACAAGCATGAGTCACCACTCCCAGTCATATTCTTTATTTGGTAGTTAACAATGACTAGTCTCTATTTGGTAGTTAATAATGTCTGTATGATTTCACATTTTGTTTCTTCACGTTCTTACTCAAAGTGGCTATTTCCTCATGTTTGATGATTTTCATTTGTGACCTCATAGCAACTCATAACTTTTTTCAAATACAATTTTAAGGTAGTGTGCATTTTGGCCACATATCTATGTAGAAACAGGCTTGTGGTTAGGAGTGCTCAAGGGATATTTTCCCTCCAACATTGTATCCATTTTATCCTTCCATTTTTAAAACATTTTGTGTCAGGAATGTTTATCTTATCTACCATATTGCTGACATATCATCTTTAAGGCCTAAATTAGGGATTGGATTTATGCAGAGAAAGGAAAAAGACAGGGAGACCAGCTAGGAGGGTGCCTCAGTGGTTCAGGCTAAAGGTAATAAAGACCTGAACCAAGGAGAGACTATGAGAGAAGAAGCTGAAGTGAAAAGAGATCTCTGAAAAGAATTGGCAGGGTTTAATAGACAGAGATTGGGCGAGAAAAAGAAAGAACCAAGGATGACTCCAAGGTTTCTAGTTCAGTATTTTGATTGTCATAGATACCACTAACAAAAATAAGGTTAAATGTTCTCCAAAATGAACCCGAATGGAGCCCATATTTAATTTGTTTCAAAATCCTGTTAAATTTTTTAAATGTGTTCACAGGCATGGAAAGAAGAGCAAGCTAGATTAGCAGAAGAAGAACGCTTAAGGGAAGAAAAAAAAGCAGAAAAGAAGAGTAAAGAAGTTGGTAAAAAGAAAGGCAAGGATAAGGTAGAGAAAGAAGACAGTAGGTCTGTGCAGAGAAAGCCTTCTTTCAAGGATAAACCTATAGACGAGCCAGCAAAAATGCAAGAAGAAACAGAGGAGTTCCTCCAGCAACCAGAACCTGCGACAATTTACCCGGTAAAACCAATTCTCTAAAAAGCCTCTTTGAGCTGTTCCTAATTATTGTGGGAAAACACAGCTTCTGTGAAACATAAGATTCCCTTGTCTTCATATCACCACCAGAGAAGGCCCAGGTGTTTCTTCTGTTATCAAGGAGCTCAAACCTGTATTCTACCCTCTGATATCTAGAACCTTCTTTGTAGTCAACTATCAAGATAGGAACACCCTCAGGCCAGCTTTCTTTCAGTGGAGTGAGGCGGGGTTATTAAGAGTGGTGAAGTAGCCGGGCTCGATGGCTCAGCCTGTAATCCCGTGCCTTTGGGAGGCTGAGGTGAGTGGATGGCCTGAGCCCACGGGTTCGAGACCCGCCTGGGCGGCGAGACCTCATCTCTACAATAAATCAAAAAATCAGCCGGGCATGGTAGTGCGTGCCTGTAATTCCAGCTACTTGGAAGGCTGAGGCGGAAGGATCGCCGGAGCCCAGCAGGTCGAGGCTGCGGTGGCCGGGAGCGGCCACTGCACTCCAGTCTGGGCGACAGAGTGAGACTCCAACTCAACAACAACAAAAAAAAAAGAGTGGTAAAGTTTGAAATTTGACACAAAGGCATTCATGTGGTTTTATGTACATAAGCAGCATGATAGTTCAACGTTAGCACAAAGATTGGCTGTATCTGTTTCAGATGATGGGACTTGCTAACTACATTTGGTTGTTTCTCTGTAAACACCTATGTTTCTGGCTTGTTTGCTTTTGTAAAACCTTCCCTTTGCCAGTTCACCTTCAGGTGATTATTATTAAGAAAACTGATGGGAGAAAAAAATGTTAACAGCCCTGTCCTTTGTAGCTACTCCTTTAAACCAGTTGTCCTCAAGTCTTAGCATGTGTCAGAATCACCTGGAACTCCATTAGCAGCACTTCATAACAAAAGCTTTTACGTATGACCCTCTGAATAGTAAAATGTCCATACTCCTCAGTGTATCAATTCACTATGGACAGAAAAATAAAAGCCAATGGATGAGAACTTGATTTATTCTTGAACTGCCTTGACAACAGTGCAGTGATTCGCTATGGATTAGATTATGAGGAAGCCTCAATGAACAGTCTAAAATCATAGACTTCCTTTCATTTTGCCTGTCATTGTGACACCATAGAAGGTTCTAAAAATAAAATGGACACTGGCCTCTGAGTGCAGAGTGACAGACACGCCATGTAGCAGAAACTAAGCTTATGCTAACTTTAGTTGGCTGACACTGATAAGTTGATTTTTGTCGATTGCAGCTCAAAGCATGATGTTTTCTCTTCTAGTTTCGAGGATACAATATGGGAAATACACCCATCCAAATCTCAGGGACAGACTACTATTTATATCCTTCTGATGGAGGGCAGATTGAAGTAGAAAAGATGTCATTTGAAAAAGGTACATTTTGAAAGCAGCTGGTTAATGGCTGGAAAGATACCAGTGCATTTCAGATAATCATGGGGTCTTGTACTTCTGAGTGTGATAGGTAAGAATGTTGATGTATCCACTGTAATTCACTTATGTGCCACATCCAACATTTTCAGACTTAATATTTTTCTATTATAATTGACTCTGCAAAGCATAGGCCAGCTGAGAGTTTAGATAATACACACTAATAGTTATGACTACCATAGTTGTTAAAATATAAAAATACTTTCATATAATCAGTAAATAGTTTAATCATAATTGCAATAAGCAAATAGTCAATGATATTAATTGCAGCACATATTGCTACCTCAGAAACAAAGCACATACTGTGAGTTTACAGCATTTTTCTGGTTTTGGTTCTGGAGTACAAAGTTTAGAACCTGCTGTCAATATCCAGTTATTTTAGCTCTTATCAAAATTTGCATATATATAGAATGTATGTAAGCTTCAGATGGCTCATAGTAAATATAATATTTTCATGCTAATCCTACACGTTTTGAGAGATGATAGCTCTATAAAAGTTGAAAAGAAAAAGCTGGATTTTTTTTTTAAAAGAGAAGAAGAAAAATAAGCCAGAACACTAAAAAATAGAATAGGTTATTGGAAAAGTTCTTATACTGTCATGATAATGTAACAATAATAGCTACTATATCTAACATATCATTTTTATCAGTTACAAAATCCTCTTGCATTAGTTACCTTAATTGATAAATAAGCATACAGTTGGTTATAAGTATGCATTGCCTCAGCCACTTTATTTTCTCTTCTGTAATTTGATGTGCAGTATATGAGAAAGCCTACAACTGTCTCCTTGATCTTCCTGCCATTTTCCTGGAATTCCACCATCATTTAATTCTTTAGACATTCTTTTTTAGAAACGTTGACACCCCCAGGTATTTCCTCTCCCTAATTTAAAACCTCTGCTGCATCATTTAAGCATTTTGTTGGGAGCTTAATGTGGCATTCTCATCAGCCCATCCATGGTTCTTCCTCAGGCCCAACATTCATCAAAGTGAAAGTGAAAAAGGACAAGCACAATTTTATCATCCATCTACAAGACCCTAAGAAAATTGTGAAAAAGGAACAGAAAGAAGAAAATTATTCCTCTGAAGAAGAGGAAGAAGAAAGATGTGAGGAGCAAAAATTTGAAGCAGGTAAGCAACTGCAACTTTGTGGCAGTGCAGGTTAATACTTCAGCAATGTGCCAACGCCTGTGCCAAACAGAAACTTACATGGACGACTTGCACTTAGCGTATGGACTTTTTCCAGATGGTAACTGAGGTATTCTGCCATTCTAAGATGAAATGTGTTGTTATTTACATACTCTGTCTGTCCTGGGCTGCTAACTTGGTTTTTCTCCCTCTGGACTCCCAGCTCTTGATTCCTGTTGTCATACAGAAGCTACCTAGGCTGGTCACCTTTATGTAGCAACACTGAATTTGTGATGTCCATTCTGTCCTTCATTTTGTTTTATGTACTTGAACCAGCTGCAGTCTAGGATGCAGATTCTCAAAATCGATTCCTACTGAAGCTTTAGCCTCTCTGCAATGTTCAGTGCAAATGAGGGGGTTTCTTCCTGAGTGCTCTCTATCACTTAGTTCTCTCTGTAGCACCAAATTTCTTTTTCCGTTGCAAGAACAATGGGAAAAAAGCATAAATCCAGTCATGAGAGTCACTGCATGCTTGGAGATGAGAGCTACAAGGTGTCCATTGATTAAAATATCATGAAACTTTCTGATAGCACCATTTAACATCTCCAGGTAGCATCACCTAGGGAAATAAATTCATCTTGTGGTATGCAAAAGAAGATGAGTTAATAAAGTGTATTTGACTTAAGTTAGTGATAAGATCAATAGCTAAATATTGCTTATGAGTTTATTTACAGTGACATTTTCCAAACCCAAGATAAGACCACAATGTTTGAAAAGTGTGAATGTATCCAAGAACTTAGCACAAAAAATTGTAATCTACTTTGTTTTACCAGATGTAAAAATATATGGATTATTATTAAAAATTAGGAAATATGGAAATATTGAAGATAGCAGTTGCCTATAATTCTACCACTCCAGTGATAACCACTGTTCATAATATATTTATTTCTTACTTTATCATTATGTACATTTTCCTATCATTAAATATTCCTTAAAACAATTTTTAAAAATAATTGGTACTTTATTGATATACATATTTATATCATAATTTACTTAATCATTTCCACAATTTTGCATATTTAGGTGATTTCCATTAAAAAATAAACATTTATAATTATATTTATATTTGTTTTATATAAATATATGTTTATGTATGTATATATAGAATAATTTAATCAGCTTTTTTAACATAGTTAGATAATACCTCATTTTTGACCCCAATATTAAACCTTCCATTTCCAGATTATATTTTTCATTTTAGCTATAATTATCTCCAGAGTCTGCAAACTTGGGCCTTAATTTGACCTACAATCTGTCTTTGTATGACTCATGAACTAAAAATAGTGTTTGCATTAATGAAGGGTTGTTTTAAAAAAATAAGCAAAGAAGTGACTGCAATAAGCCTATATATGTGGCTTACAGAACTTAAAATATTTATCATCTGGCCTTTTTCAGAAAAATTTTCTGACCCCTGATCTAGATGAATCGGCAGCAAACTGACAGACAGAGAGAAGGATGGAAACATAGAGAGTAATGATCATTGCCCTACCACTGTTTCCTATCTTCTTTCCCATTTCACAAAGGTTTCAGTTCTGGTTTATTTGTTGTTTGTTTTATTGCGTTTTCCCTTCTAGTAGGGCACATTGTAGTATGCCCTCCCAAAGTTCACGTATCTCTGGATATCTGAAAAGTATCGTGGTTGGATACAGAATCATTGGCTTGTCATTTTTTTCTTTCTATGAGTCATAGTTGCTATTGAATCGTGTTGCAGCTTCTGGATTGGAATTTGATGAGCCCTTGTAATCTGAGAACCAGGCATCAGCTGTAGCTCCGGGAATTTTTCTTTAGCTGTAATTTCTGTTCTCCTTCATTTGTTCCTTTTTCTCCCTCTGTAGAAGCCTATAATTTGCATAAATTTATCCTGTAAATCTCTTATGTCCTCTTCATGACTTCCTTCTGTTTCAATATTTGCCCTGGGTTTTGAGATAATTTTTTCCCTTCATTTTCTAAGAGCCTTATAGAATCTCAAAAGTGCTCATCCTCTTCTTCAGTTCATCTGCCGAATACTAAATGGTTTTGGCTGGGGAAGCATGTTTTCAAATTCTAGAGAGTGCTTTTTAAAATATCCTTAAGTGCTCTTCTATCATTTATATTTTGCTGAGCATGTGCTCTGTTTTTTGTGTTTTGTTTTGTTTTCTGACTGATAATTCTGTGCACTCAGCTCTCTTAGCTGGCTTGGTTCCAAGTACTTTCCCACAAGTTTCTACCAGTGCAACCTCTAATTAATAGTATATGAAGGTGCCTGTTTCCCTGAACCCTGATCAACACTAATCATTCACTTTTTTTTTAGTAGACTTGAATTTTTAAAATAGTTTTGGGTTCATGGAAAAATTGAGTGGAAGTTATAAATCTCCCTTATATTCCCTCCCCCTGCACATGCGTAGTCTTTCCCGTTATCAATATTTTGCCATCAAAGTGGTACATTGTTACACTTGATGTATCCACATTGACAAATTATCACTCAAAGTCCAAGGTTTACATTAGGGTTCACTCAGTGTTGTGCATTCTGTGGGTTTGAACAAATGTATAATGACATGTAGCCACCATAATATTATCATACAGAGTAGTTTTGCTCCCCTAAAAATCCTCCTCCTTCCCGGAAACCCTGGCAACTACTGATCTTTTCACTGCGTGCATCCTTTTGCCTTTTTCTGAATGTCATATAGTTGAAGTCACACAGTATGTAGTCTTCTTATATTGGCTTCTTTTACTTAGTAATGAGATTTTAAGGTTCCTGCACGTCTTTTCATGGCTTGATCATTTATTTCTTTTTAGCAATAAATATCATTACATTGTCTAGATGTATCACAGTTTTGTTTTCTCCACTCACCTACTTGCTGAATCATCTTGGTTGCTTCCAAATTTTGGCAATCATGAATAAAGGTGCTACAATTATCTGTGTACAGATTTTTGTGTGGACATAGCACTCAACTCCTTTGGGAAAATACCTAGGAGTGGGATAGTGGGAGCATATGGTAAGAGTATGTTAGTTTTGCAAAAATCCATCATGCAGTCTTCCAAATTGTCTACACCACCTTGCATTCCCACCAGTATGAATGGGATTCCTGCTGCTCTACTTCCTCTCCAGCACTTGGTGTTTGGAATTTTTTCTATTCTAATAGGTGTCTAGTAGGATCTTGTTCTGATTTGCATTTCTCGAATAACATATGATGCTAAGCATCTTTTTAGATGCTACTTGCCATTTGTTATCTTCTTTGGTGAAGTATCTGTTGAGGTTTTTGCCTATTTTTAATCAGGTTGGTTTTTTTAGTGTTAAGTTTTTAGAGTCTTTGAATATTTTGAATAATACATTTCTGAATAATACATACATTTGCCAGATATGTCTTTTGCAGACATTTTCTCCAAGTCTGTGCCTTATTTTTTTGTTCTCTTGAAGGATTACCCTTTGTTTCATTGATCATTGAATTTCCCAGTCTAGAGATTATATGTTTATGTGTTAAAATATTTTAAATGTCCTATCCTTATTGTCTACTAATAGAAAAAATTATAAACTGAAAATAATACAACAGAAGATTCACAAAATCTTCACATATACATTAAGAATGTGTACGTTAACAAATTCTGTTTTAAAATTTTGTTTGAAACAATTTTAAAGTGTGTTTTTAAACGTAAGGAATTTTAAATGTGAGGATTCAAGAATGTGTTTTAAAATATGGGGAAATTGAGACATAATTGATGGTTTTAGTTTTTAAAGCTGAGTGGATAATTTATCAGATAAATAATCAGCATATGGCTATGCCATCAACTAATTTATTTCCTCTCTTCATTCCAACCTGAAGTCCTTGAAACAAGAGTCTCGTGTTCTTATTTTTGTAACTCCACCCACCTCTAAGAGCCCTGGGTACTTGATTGGTGCTGAACAAATCGTTTTTAATTTGATTGCAGTAGACTAGCTAAAACCTTCATTCCCAGTCTCCCCAGCGAGTTTAGAGTTGGAGTCTTACTCGGTCGCCCAGACTGGAGTGCAGCGGCCGCTCCTGGCCACCGCAGCCTCGCCTGCTGGGCTCCGGCAATCCTTTGACCTCAGCCTTCCGAGTAGCCGGAATTACAGGCACGTGCTACCATGCCCAGCTAGTTTTTTGATTTATTGTAGAGATGAGGTCTCGCTGCCCAGGCGGGTCTCAAACCCGTGGGTTCAGGCAATCCAATCACCTCAGCCTCCCAAAGGCACGGGATTACAGGCTGAGCCACTGAGCCCGGCCTATATATTTTTTTAATTAAGTGGAAATGTCTTTAATTTTGTCTTTTAGAAGTATCAGGTACAAAAGATAAAGCTGTCAGCAAGTTTGGATCTTTTTCTGCCACCTTAGAAAATGGAATCTGCCTCTCAATAAGTTACTATGGATCAAGTGGAATGGCACCAGGTAAACCAATCACAACATAAAGGGTTTGTGCCCCCTGGCCAGAGATCCCAGCCGCTGCTCACCCTCAGTCCTCTCACTTGTCAATAAACGTGTTCTGAAATAATACCCCTCATAGTTTTCCCTGCAGGGTGAGAATTTAAGGTGAGCGTGTGTGTATATATGCATGTATGTGTATATATATGATTATATATATATATACTTGTATATGTATATACATACAAAGATTATATATATTTTTTATATATATATATATACACACCCACACATGTTTACATCTACAAGTATATATACATAACCTTTCATACATAGCAAATAACGGTGCCTTAACATTTTAAACATCGTTTATCATTTACATGATCTTTTATATAATCACATATGCATGTAAGATCATATGCATATGACATAACGCATGATAATTACATATGGACACACATATATTCCAGTTATCTTTGCCAACCAGCCCTTAAAAATAATCCTGTTAGTTGGTGCCAAAGGAAGCACTATTTGCCATGGAATCTTCTTGGGTTTCTACAAAATAATATTTTTATGAATCCTGTGATTTCGGATCTGCTCAGTGTGCTTCGGGACATTAGTCTTCAAGGAGTAATTCAGTGGACACACTGAAGGATTTCTCTGCCCCACTTTCCCTCAACAAATTCTCCAACTGCAAGCTATTTCCTTACAAACCACAAAATAGTGTCACTTTACCAAGAGCCAGTTAGGAAATCTGTGGGTTCCCATGCATTTTAGAGTGATCTAACCACAACATATTTAAAAAAAGGCGTTACAAAATCAAACAGTAGTCTCTGTACTATATAGCCTTGAAATTATGTATTAGTACATCACGGTGATCCAATTGTCTGCCTTACTAGAGTTCCTTTTCTGTAGAGACAAGGCTCCTTGGACCACAGCTTAGTATCCTTTTGGACAAAAAGTGGATAACACAACTATGAAACAGGCAAAAAAAGAAAAGAAAAGAAACGCAATCAAACCTTTGAATACTACTTTGTACCTTCTTGCTAAAAGCAACATACCATTCTTGCTTCTGAGTACATGTAGAATGCAAGAACCTTAATCAGGCCTCAAGCTACTGGTCACATGATTCTTTAAGCAAATCCTGCATGACAACCAGCCTATGTTCACTTAGAGAACGATGCCTTCCCACCCTACTCCTTCCTTGCCTCTCAGTTCCTTGAATGAACTGAGCCTTCTCATATGGCCACCCGCTTGCTCATGCTGTGCCCTTGTTCAGAGCACTTTATCCTGCCATGTGGACCACCTCTTTTGACAAACTTCCTCCTGCCCTTCAGGCCTTAGCTCAGAAGTTACTTGTTCTGAGAAATGCTTCTCAGAGCAAGTGGCGGTAGCAGATGAACTGGATCTTTGGAGGTGAGTGAGAATTGCATAGGCAAAAAAGAAAACAGGAAAGGAATTCTAGATCCCAGGAACAGTGTGTATGAAAGCTCAGTCACGTAAGAGCATAGAAAGCCTGTTCCGTATTATGGAAAGGTGAGCTGCTCAATCTAGCCACAATAGATTGTACCGAGGCATTTGCAGTAGATGCTTTTCTTCCGAGTCCCTGTGGCACCTTGTGGTTCCCCTTGTCACAGACTTAACACACAGCATCGTGCCTGAGGGTGTTCTAATCTGAACCACCCGCTTAATTATACTTTCCTTGCCTAGCTGGTCTATCGTTTGCTATCCGATTCACAACACATGGTAGTAGGTAAAAAAATAAGTACTGGGGGTGCAGAAAAATGTTAAAATGTTTTAAAAACATTTTAAGTTGTCGATAATTGCCATTCTGGCTGGAGTTAGGTAGTATCTCAGTGTGGTTTTGATTTGCATCTCCCTGATGATTAGTGAGGTTGAACTGCCCATCAAAAGAGGACTGAATTTTAAAAATGTGGTACGTATACACGATGGAATACTATGCAGCCATAAAAAAAAAACAAAATTATGAATTTCGCAGCAACCTGGATGGAACTAGAGTCTATAATACTGAGTGACCTCTCACAAAAACAAAGATCCGAGTATCAAATGTTCTCACTCATATAATGGACCTTGAACATCCAATGTAATACTGTAAGAAAATGACTGACAGTAGTGGGAAACTATGGCGGGGGAGGGAGATGGGATTAACAGTAGCAAATATCTGTCTGGGGATGGGGAAGCACCTCTTATCAATAGGGTGCCTGAATGAAACGTATTTGTATGCCTAACCCTTAACTGTACCCCACAACATCATAATAAAAAAATATTGATTATAAAAAAATGAAAGAATAAAACATCTAGAGTGTTTTTGTTTTGAAAAAATTTTAAAAGATGTTATCTATGTATTACTTTTAGTGTACCATAGTCAGAGGTGCCTAAATGCTGATGGCAACCACTCTGAACACCTCTTGTAATTGCAGAAGTCAAATGTGACATATTCATCATTTGTTATCGGTATAGAGTATTGTGATTTTAATACAATTTTCTTCCTTTCTTAAAATGTGTATTTTTTTTTCTGGCACCCTCTGTATTTACTGAATTTCACTGAGTGCCTGGATAGAAAAGGGAGGGAGAAGTCTCCAGATGCCTGAAAAGGAATGCCATTCACTTATTTATATGCTGCATTTCCTATGAGTCAGGTAACTCGCTGGCACTAAGCCACTAAGATAAATAAAGCCTCAGTTTCTCTACTCAAAGAGCTCACTGTCTAATGGGAAAGCAAAGCATACAAATCGAGCAATGACTGTCACAGTGCTAGAAATTATATATAAACAGAGTTTGGGGGACTGTTCGAAAATATTTCAGAGAGAAATTGTAGCAGTTGAGGTGGAACTTTAGAGGTTAGCAGATGCAGAGACAAGGACAGGGAATTCAAGGCAGTCAGAGCCATCTGTATAAATACACAGTTTTGAAAACACGTGGCCGCTGGACAGAAAGGTCAGAAGTTCAGTGTGGCTGGAGTGGAGGTCACAGAGTGGCAGAGGACTTTAAGAAAGGGAGGGGACGTGACCGCCTTTTGGGAGCATAATTTTCGTGACAGCTTGAAAAGTACGCTGGAGTGGTTGGAAGTGCCATGATTTCGGTTAGGAAACTGCCGCAGAAGACCACGAGTGATCATGGGACCCTGAGCGAAAGCTAAGAGAACACACAAGAGAGGCATGATTTGAGCGGAAGTTGCGCGGGGCTGGTGGCGGGTTGGGTGGTAGGATGAGTCAAGAAGGGAAAGCGCGAACGGTCTCGATGCCCACCTCGGGCGAAGGCGTGCCGAGCCAGCCAGGGCGTTAGCTGAGACTGAGACTGTAGGAGGGTCCGTCTGCTGAGGACAGGAGACGCTTCCACGCGTCTGAAGCGTCTCTGGTGCCGCAACCAGGAGATGCCTGAGGACGGCTGGCAGCGAAGGCGTGGGCTCTGCGCTCTCCGACGGACATTTCGGAGACGCCCGCCTGTGGAGGGCAGTCGAAGGCCCGGCGGGGAGCGGATCGCCCAGGCCCGCCGTACCCGGGGCGGGGCCTGCAAAGCCCGGAATCGCCTTCCAGTGGGCGGATCCCTTGTAGCCGCGGCGTCCCCGCCAGTTCCGAGTGTTCCAGGACGCTGCAGTACCGGCTAGCCTTGTGAGGGGCCGCATTCAGCTGCAGCGAATGTCTCTTGTTCCTCTTGGCTGGCAATGCTTTGAACGCGTTTGCCCATTCCAGGACGGTGAATCACGAGCACACCTGCCCATAGCACGCTGAGCGGTCAGCAGTCTGGGACCAAGGATGACATGATCCCTGGGCCCCGCCCTCTCTACTCACTGGATTTCGCCCTGAGTTTTTTTGGTCTGTCTCCCCGGATGAAAAACGTCCTCAAAGGGAAATGTTCTGGTGGTGTGAGAGAGGTAAAACAAAAAACAGCAGAAGCACCAAAAGGCATCAGAATCGACAAGTTTAAAAACCGTCTCGAGCAGTGGAAAAAGCATCTCGACAGGTGCATTGCATCAATCTGAGAATGCCTTGAAAGTGACAGAAGTTTAAACATGTAAGAATAAATACACAATTTTCATAAATAAATTCCAGTTTGGGGGGACCCCTCTCATATAATCAAAGTACTCATCCCTGGCTGTGTATCACAATCACTTGTGGTGTTTCACAAATATAAATGCCTGGGCCTCATCTCCAGTGAGTCTTACTCACGAGGTCAAGGTGGGGTCTGAGCATTTTTTTTTATTTCATGTGTAATTATTATAAACAGCCATGGTTGCAAACATCATAAACGTTGAGACCTAAAAGCATTTAAGGGATTGTCAAAAGAGGAAGATGCAGTAAAGAAGACTAAGAAAAAAAGATTGGCAACAGAGGTAAGAGATTCAGGGAATCCTAGGGCCCAGAGGAGAACAAAATTTAAGACACAGAGTATGCTCTGGGGCTGCCCCACATTATTCCTCCTCTCATCAGCTTTCCTTTCAGAGTTCTGATAATCCTTTAAACCAGGAAGAAAAATTGATCTTATTCAAGTAACTTTCTTTTGTCATCTCAGCCAGAAATAATCTATTTCTGTTCTGGATTTTCTTTTTTGTGCCATTTATAATATTCCTATTAATATGTCCCTATATCAAGTTATTTGAGTACAGATCTTAGTTAGACTATTTTGACTCCAAAAAGACTTTTACATTTTTTAAATTATTTTCTACTGCTCCAAACATTTTACATATAAGAAGTGCTTCTCAAATAAATGAGGGAGGAATCATTGCTCTATTAGTAAGGAGTTTACAATGCAGATAGGAAGGCAAGAACATGAAATAATTACTCGATGAAGCATATCAAATTATTGAATACCTAGAAATTTCTAACTGCAATCCTGATTTTCAAACCAACTACATTGCCTCTGAAATCTATCCAACTGATAAATCATATTTAGCAAGGTAAGAGTTGTTGCCCACTTACATAAATTTTTGAGATAGAAATGTGATTTAACAAGACATCAAATATAACTGCTGAATTTACTTGGGGTTTTTTCCTGTTTATAGAAGATAAGGACCCTAATGTAGAAGCAATCTTAAATATCCCTTCAGCAATCACTCCGACAGTGATTCCTGTTGTAGAGACTGTTCCTCAAGGCAAAGCTAAAGGGAAACCAAAAGGCAGAGAAAAACCCAAAGAATCCCTTCAAGAAGAGGAGAATCCAAAAGAAGAAGAGAAAAAGGTATTTTACCATGAGCTCCCAAATTTTGTTTTAGCTCCAATGTCAGCTTTTTTAAAAATCATGACTTATGTCAATAGTGTTACTATATAGCATACATTTTATTATGTAGATGAATTAGCATTCTTTGTGGTGTTATCTTTGAATGAACAAGAAGGATTTACACACAAAAACTGGATTTCGGCAACCCCCTCAGGTCCCCTCCCACTGAGGGAGCTTTTCTGTCCTCCCAATAAATCCTGCTTTTAAAAAAAAAAATTGAATTTCCACTCCACAAACAAATTGCCAAACACAAATTGTCTTGGGTCATTCATTCTAAACTTGAAAAAATTTAGTTCAACCTTTCTCCCACCTTGATTCTTGGATTTCCTTTGCTTTGGTTAGACACGTTTCTAACATTTCTCATTTTTAACATTTTATTTAGCTTTATGGAAATAAACAATTAGAAAACAAATGTCTTTAACTAAATAATGGAAATAGTTCCATGTGGTAGACTTGGACTTAGATATTGATGTGCTAAGAATCCAGCAAGACTGAGAGACAGACCACCTCTGATTAAAGAGTAATCCACCTTCTACCCCAGCCCTTCATCGTAGGAAACACACACACACAGAGGCTTTGGCTCTAAATATTTTCCTAATAGAATACAGATGAAAAGAGTGCTCTAAAACCAAAAGAGGAGTAGCAACAGCAGCAACAACAAAACCTACCGTTAAATCTTGACCCTCAGTATTTGCTACTTAGCGTACAATGTAAAGATATTCAATTTATTAGAAGAAAAACTACATTTAAAAGTGCTCCAGAAGCTGGATTTCAGCCTTGCCCCTTTAAAAGTGTAGGGACTTTAAATGCTTGGGCACCACATTTGCCTGGTTTGACTCGATAAGATTTCTCATGCAGAGCCATTTGAAGTAAAGATATTGGAGCAAAAATGTTCACGTATTGGACAGAATGACTCCAGGTAGTTTATTTCAAACTAATTTGAAAGTAACTTGATAGTAAACTAATCTGTTCATCCAACATTTAAAAAAATTGATGGTAATGGAAGAGAGAGGACTAACTACTGGTTTGCATGTAATGATAGATTTGACATGGCAGGTGTGCACCCTTGAGCATTTTTGTTCATTTTGCATAATTCTATGCACTTTTTTCTTTTAATTTTGCTTTGTGTTTTTTTAAATTCATTTTAACTAATTTTTCATATTTTTTCTTCTGTCAGTGACAAAGAAAAAACAGAACAACCTAAATAATAGAAGGCTAGCTTGGATAAACTAAAGATCCAGAAACAGTATATCAGTTGGAACGACTTTGGTGGCTAACCAAAAGGAACCAACTGGAAAAATTGAAACGATTATCATCAGGGATTGTTTGGAAGTTACTGAAAAACTTTCGTTTTGAGCACATTGAACCAAACAAGGGATTCAAGTGTAACTGACATAAAATTAATAAGAATTTTAATGTAGATACACCCAAACCCTCACTAATTTATAAATAATTTTGTCTTTTTTATTGCCTTTACCTGCTATAAAAGCAAGGCATGCTCATTATTTTTAAAATTAAGGACAAATATTCTAAAGCATATCTTTAGTACCCAAACTAAGAATTATACCAAAGAAGGCAGTGAGGAAATTGGTTTTCCCCATACTTTGTCTGTCTTAGTTCGTTTGTGCTGCCATAACAAAATGCCTTAAATTTGATGGTTTATAAACAATATAAGTTTTATTGGTCACAGTTCTAGAGGCTACAAGACCAAGATAGCGGCAGATTTGTGTCTGGTGAGGTTATGCTCCCCACATAGTTGGCATCTTTGATGTGTCCTCACATGGCAGAATTGTCAAAGACACTCCGTTCGTGAGGGTGGAACCCTCATGACTTAGTCACTTCCCAAAAGGCCCAACCTCTTACTGTGATCACATTGGGTATTAGTTGCCAAGACATGAATTTTGGAGGGAACAGCAACACTCAGACTACAGCACTGCACTCCACATCCTAATGGGGGCACCTTTCAAAGCCCACCTCAAGCCCTAATTCATCTTCCCCAGGTGCCATTCTACAAGTAGAATACAAGTTGCGCCAAGGGAGAGACTCGGGCATGCTTGCAGGCTCCATGGCAGGGTACACCCAGCTCAGCGCAAGTCACGTTTTAAGCACTCAGCAACTCCTTGCTTAGTCAAAATAAGCACAACTCTTTTAGGAGATGACAAGCAATTATTCACATGCTAAATTATTTGCAGGATGAAGTAGAACCAGAACCTGTTTCACAAGAGACTCTTTATGCTCCCACCTTCCCAAGCCTAAACGTGTCTTGCCCCAATGGACTCCTGCTGTCTTTCATTGGGGAGGAATCTACAGGTGAGTGCTACCCGGGATGAGATGGGAAAGCAGGAGGCAAAGAGTCACACAGAAACAGTTAAGCCATCATTAGAAACTGTGTGTTTTCTTATCAGTTAAGCATAATTCTTATTGATAATGCATAATATATAGACTGTTTTCAAATTTTGAGTCCTTACTATGGCCAGGCACTGTCTAAGCACTTAACACACAAGACTGGAAGTATTATGAGCTATGTATTACAAATTCCACTTTACAAAATACAGAAATGAAGGCTTTGGGAGGTTCTGTAATTTGCCGAGGTTATTCAACTCCCAAGTGGCAGAGCTGAAATGCCATTCTCAGTCCAGTGATGGAAGAGTCAATGCTTTTAACAATCCACATGTGGCCCTGCACCACTGCCTCTACAGAGAACCACAGGTATAGTACTTTCCTGATATGATCAAAACAAAGGACGATGAGCACAACAGAGATAGAGATAAGTGCAGATAAAATGGATGAAGAAACCAGTCTTCATGTCTATATCAGTATATAATTGTATATAGTCTCTTATCTCTGTTGGTTCGGTACTTGGCTCCTAACTTGTTTAGCTGAATCGATAAGTACAAGTCGAACTTTTTAAACCACCTGGTGACGCATCTTCATTGGTGATTGAACTTGAATATCATTTAACAGAGACCCACGGTTCAAGTTGAAGTAGGCGATGTAACAAAGCAAGCACTAAACTAGGCCTTGAGTTCTACAGCTGGCTCTGGCACGAACTAACAGCATGGCATTTTAAAGCTACTTCTCGTCTCCAGACCGTGTTTCTCATCTGATGAATGTTAGATTATACCAGTGGATCTTTATTTTTTTCATAACCTAATATCCTCTGTAGTATATTGTTATGTTTGGAAAGCATATCTGTTAAAGAAAATCATTACGCTTATTTTAAAATGATGCAGTGTTTTATTTTTTAACACTTGCCTGTCAAAAAAAATAGAAACTAAGTACTGAAGCTAAATTTTGCTTTTCATTAGACTTTCTGAATTATTAAAAATGGACCACGGACCCCTGTTCTATTTCCACATATCCTTCGGTGGTCCAGGTTTTTCCACTGTGCTAGATGGTCACTAAGTATCTTCCAAAGTCTAAGATTCTGTGAGTGTATTGAGAACGATGTTTTCAGATTCAAGGATATAAGGATATACGTGCTTGTTTGCTTGATCCTGTTACCAAACCCCAGCTTGACACCTCTTTAGCCTGTCTTTTCTGTTAATTTTATTATCTACCCTAGTATGTTCCTCCTTATGTCAGAATAGACAATGTAGTTAATAGTAACTCTGCCTAGAATGCATCTGTTTAAAATCTCCCATATGTTATTAATATCCTAATTCAAGTTTGAACATACAAACATGAACACCAAAATAATACCTTCCTCAGGGTCAGCCTTGGACATAGAGAGAGAAGGTTATTGTGGCACAAGGAGAAAGATCCTACACTTGAATCCTTTCCTGGGTGACTTTGGAAGTAAATGAGAAAAATACTTTTTAGCCTAGAACATATTGCCCTAGTGTTTTTTTTTTTGGGGGGGGGGTAGTTGTGCTTTTGTGTATGTCTGTTTTGGGAGGTTTTAGTTTTGTTTTTGGTTGTAATAGTGATGGTTGTTTTTACAGTATAAGAAAATGATTCAGATCCCACCTATGCCACTGACTGGCTATGTGTTCTTAGAGACGTTATAAACTCTCCAAGCCTTTATTTCTTCATCTGAAAATGTGTGTGTGTGTGTGTGTGTGTGTGTGTGTGTGTGTGTAGCAATTAACATATAGAAATATCTCGATGTTTATTATTTCATCATCATTATTGTTTCTGTGATTTAAAGGGAGTACTAGAAGGCCCTCACTGCAATATATTTTCTCACCAGCCGGATATAATCCTTAAACTGACATCATTGCATGGTAATTCCTTCATGTTAGGGCTTTTAAGCTTTAACAAACCACATTATAAATTAAGAGAACATTATTCAATCAGCAAAAACTGAGTGGGTGGTGCATACCAGCGCATACCTTAATAGTGCCTTCTTTTTGAAGAAGCTTAGTAGATGCTTTTCTCTTTGATTGCCAGCTAAGAGCAGAACACAGAGAGGAATCTGGACTTGGCTAGAGATGAGGGGATCATGCTCACTTTGAATGATGAAGGATACTTTAGGAAGGACAAGCCGGAGTGAGGGAGTGACCGCCCCAGGGGCTCTGGACTACCATGTAACTCCCGGGCAGCATGGTGTGTCCTGTTTACTCAAGAGTTTCTCAAAGGTTAGAAACAGGCATCAACAAGAAAACAGGGAACACTTAATAAAATTAACAGAAAAGACAGGTTAAAGACTACTTCATTCATCATTTTGCTCTGAGGCATCCTGTACCTACAAGAGAATGGCTTGCGCATGAAGTTACCTACTAGTACTAGGTGTTGTAGATGACCTATTTACTGCAGCAAGGCCAGCAAAGAACTAGTATTCTGATCATCGCTCGTGACATGGAAACTGCCCTGTTATTCAGATGCAGACAAAAGAAAGACGATAATTAAGCAAGAAGATAAAAGCCCAGTCCCATGGCATTGCCCAGTTCACAGGAAAGCTTTATTCTCTCTTTTTTTTTTAAGGTCAAAACGTTATGGATGAGGAACCCACCTGGGATATCATGACCCGTCAGAGCTACCCCCAGAAGGCAAAGCACTATGATTTCTATAAAACAGTGATGCCACCAGCCGAGCAAGAGGCATCGAGGGTTATCACCAGTCAAGGCACCGTTGTCAAATATATGTTGGATGGGTCCACACAGGTAAACGAATGTGTGATATAAATTATTCTTCCCTGCTGCAAAGTAAAACACAGACAGGCTATGGGTAAGAAACAATACTTTAGCAGGGAAGAGGGACAAAACACTTGAAAAAAGAATGATGAAGAATAGCATAGTTAAAGGAAAAAACACTATCTATACAAAATAGGATACAGATAAACTTGCCGTTTTTTGTTTGTTTGCTTTTCGCATGATCTAAGTTTGCAGACTAAGCAGTGTTTTCCTCCTCTCCCTCTCAAGGTATCTTAAAACTATTTCTAGGAATACATTTAAATAATAAATTCATAACAGTACTAGAGAGAAACAAAATATGCCCTCAATAATAGGTCAGAAAATTTGGAGAGCACATAAAAAATGCAAATCAAATGGGATCAAAGAAATGGGGAAACAAGAACAAAATTTAAAACATACAAGAAAAGAGCTGCAGCAAAATAAAAAATCAAAACGGGGGTTCCGCACAGATGTTTCACACATGGAGCTCTGGACTCAGGAAGTCAGGGTATCTCTCCAGGTAACTCACTACCACCTGGAGGATGGGAGCCAGAAACCACAGAAACCACACGCCCTGCTTCATCCCTCTACAATAATCCCAGAAGAGGAGCTCCTATGACCAGACTCTACACCCCCAAGCAGTGACAAGGGATTCTCAGTGAGAAATACAACCATGCGCCTGAAGAGTCACAAGCCTTGGAGGGAAACCAGCGCCATGAGAATAAAGTATACAATTCCATAAATGAAAGAAATAGCACCTAAAAAATGAAAACAAATACTTAAACAAAAAGTTTTAAGTGAAGAGAAGTAATATAGACAGAGACTTGAGAGACTAACAGCCCATAACATGACAATTTTTTAAGAAGCTGATAAGGAAAAAAGGTAAGACTTAGAAATTAAAAATAATTTTGAAAGATCAAAGGGTGGAAGGAGCAGATAATGAGGGAGAAAAAATGTTAAGAGACATGGAGAAGGGATCTACACAATAGAATTTCCAGAAGAAAATAGTAAGAATAAAGGTAGAAAACAAATCAGAAATATGACATAAGAAATGTTCATAGAACTTAAAACAAACACCTGCAGGTTAAACAAGGCAACCAAATGCCAATCAGGATTGACACTAATTATCTTTAAAAGATCATCTAAATATGTCATTATGCAATTTTAGGACCGTATAGATAGCCAATCCCAAAAACTTCCTGAAGGGAACAAGCTACCTACAAAAAAATAAGAACCAGATAGACACTTGACTTCTCATCAGAAACACTGATGGTGGTTCTTGTCACGTTCATTGGGAGTGTTTAGATCCTGATACTCTGCAGATGTATGTATGATACCTAGAGATGATAGATAGATGATAGATAGATTGATTGATTGATTTTTTTTTGAAGGGGGGCTGCCGTCCAGGACGGAATGCAGTGGCACGCTCACGGCCACTGCAGCCTCAACCTGCTGGGCTCAAGCAATCCTTCCACCTCAGCCTTCCAAGTAGCCAGAACTACAGGCATGCACCACCACGCCTGGCTAATTGTTTGATTTATTGCAGAGAGGAGGCCTCGCTAAATTGCCCAGACTGGTCTTGAACGGCTGGGTTCAGGCAATCCTCACACCTTGGCCTCCCAAAGTGCTGGGATTATAGGTGTAAGCCACCGCACCCAGCCGATATTAAAAGAAACTATACATTTAAATATGTGATAAAATTTTAAATATAGTCATTTAAAAATTGAAATTGAGTATATAAATTTCCAATTGCGTAGGTAAAAGGGAAAGAATAGAAAATAAATAAATCCAAAAAGGACAGAAAAATAAACAAAATAGAAGGTAAATATAAAATAATATTATTGTGCCTGTTGTCCCTGAACTTCAAATCTACCCTTCTATAATGTGTTTTGTGATGCTGAGTCTGGAGGTCTGCAAGCAGCATATCTTCTTTGGATTATTTTTAATTTATTTCCATTTGATACACAGTGTTTATTGTTAACCATCTTCCTTGCTTCTGAGACTGCTGAGAGCTTTTGTTTTTCCTTCAGATTCTCTTTGCAGATGGTACTGTGAGTAGCAGTCCTGATTCAGGTCTTATTTGTCCTCCTCCTGAAATACCAACAAGCCCTCATAGTGGAGATTTGATGGACTCCCTTTCTCAGCAAAAATCAGAAACAGCACCATCTGAGACTATCATCACAAAGAAAGGTAACCATGGAATCCTCTTGATTTATAATGAATTCAGTAAAGTCTTCAAGTGCTTAATAAGTGTTCAATATCATTCTTATGTTGCCTTTACTATGAACATAATAATATATATTCATCTACATATATACATAAAAATAAATTTTCATTGCAATCACACGATTGCATAACTGTTTCATAAATGCTTTTTTCGTTTAGTAATGAATAATGAATTTTTTCTATGGTATTTTTTTTTTTTTTTTTTTTTTTTTTTTTTGTTGGGGTCTCCC